GGGCAGGAGTGGGAAGGGCTTGTTGCCAAATGGCCGCTGACTAGAAGAGCCTCCCCTGTTACCCTTGGATTTCAGATGCTGCAGCGGAGAAGCCCGGAGCCCCAGGCTCCCCACTGAATGTCCGATGCCTGGATGTGAACAGAGATTGCCTCATCCTGACCTGGGTCCCACCCAGTGACAGCCGGGGCAACCCCATCACCTCATATTCCATCGAACTGTGAGTGGCCTCTGGAGTGGCAGAGCCCTTGGGAGTAGAATTCTGCTGGGTATGGAGGCCACAGGAAGGAGGACCTCAGAGGACCCCCCACGCCTGCTCCTTGGAACGGAGCTGGGGGTAGACCGTGTTGTATAATATAGGAGCAATAGAAGGGCGTTCGAGCCTCCAGATCTTTGTCACACTAATGCCTGAGTCAGCTTTGACCTTTGCGCCCCTTACAGTACACACTGACCCCGGGAGGGACAGAAACCTGAGCACTTGTGAATTTGTTGGCTCTTTTCCTCCCTGAATGACAGAGAGGGGACAGCACTGACCCTGGGGGCAGAGGCACACGAGGAGGGGAGAAGAACAGGCAGAGGGCACAGAACCTGCCGCCTCCTTCCCAGACTGCCCACTCCGAAGCCCCAGCGTGAGAGGAAACCTAATCCCACCACTGCCCGGCCCGCTGCCTGGGTGCCTGGGGCTGCGCTGAGGGCGGCCTTATCTCAGCTCATCCTTAGGGTGACCCCTGTATAAAGGGGAGGGGGGCTCTCTAAAGCCCCATGCTACAGATGGGGAAACTGAGGTACATGGGGAGATGACTTTGCCCAAAGTCCAATTGCTCATTAGTGGTGGAGGCAGGACTTGGACCCACATGTGACCGCTGTCCCATCCAGCAGTGACGTACCATGCACTGTCCTACTGCCTGAGGCCAGCAGTACCGAGGGGCGCAGAGAGCCCAGACTTGGAGAGTCCATCTGCAATGTGCGCACTGACTCAGGGAGTGGACATCCCTCAGTCAAGTCCTCACTCTACCACTCACAAGCTGTGTGACCTTGGGCAAGTCCCCTCCCTCTCTGAGTCGCAGACCCCACGTAGGGTGAAGATAGTCACACCTAACTCCTAGGAGTGCCGGGAGGGTGAGATGGGGGTGGGGTGGGAGCAGAGTGCAGCCCAGGCGCACATGAAGCTGCAGGACAGGGGCTGGCTGTGATGGTGACATCAGGGCCAGGGTGTGAAAAGGCTTCCTGGGGACCCCAGGTTGGAGCCAGGCTTTTAAGTTGGAGAGAAGGATTTTAATTGGCAGAGGTGAGCTGGGCAGGCAATCAGGTGGGGGGAATGGTCCTTCTAGAGGCCCAGACTGGGAAGGTGTTAGCCAGAGGCTGAGAGCTGGGATCTATCTCCCACAGGTGCCAGGGTGACTCCGGGGAATGGGTGCCCTGCCACGAGGCCCCTGGGGGGACCTGTCGGTGCCCAATCCAAGGCCTCATCGAAGGCCAGAGCTATCGGTTCCGGGTGAGAGCTGTCAGCAGGGCAGGCAGCAGCATCCCCTCCAAGGCCTCAAAAGCTGTTGTCATGGGTGATCGTGATGCAGCCCGGAGGCAGACAGGTGGGTGCAGAGGACATTCTAGAACCCCAGTCAGGGCATGCTCAGCACTGCCTCACACAGGAGATGAGCGACACAGCCCCCATCCCAAGCCCCGCTCCAAAGAGGAGACAGCCCAGCCCCCAGGAACCCTTGGTCTGATGCAGGAGACAGTCCTCTCCTTAGGAACCCCTAGTCTGACAGGGACATTCTGGCTAGTCTATAACTGATCAAAGAAACCCAAGCAGTCCAGAGAAGAAACTAATCTGAGGGAGAACCACAGCACCTCCTACAGATGCCCATAATCTGGAGGAGGAAAACTGCCCTGCCCTCAGGAGCACACAGCCCTCTCAGCCCTCAGGAGTCCCCCTGACTTGGGTTTGCTCACGGCTCCACGGTGCCCGGCATACCTGACCCCAGGCACATCACTCCTCCTCTCTGCTCCCACGTGTCCCAAAACGCAGAGCGTCTCCAAGGCCTGACAGCAGCAGTGCTCCACTTTGGACTCCTGAGAAACCGGAGACCCAGACAGCACCTGCCTGAGGTCATACAGCGAGGGCCACAAGGCCAGGACTAGGACAGGGGCAGGATTCAGAACTCGGAGTAGGGCAGGCCCTGGCCTGGCTCCTCCTGGCCCAGCCCTTGATGTGCTCCATTCTCATCCTAGAGATCCCCTTTGATCTGGGAAGCAAGATCACAGTCAGCACAGATGACTTTGAAGGTACGTGTGACTTTCCCAAACACTTTGCCTCAAGACACTAGCCTCCTTTACAGTTCTGGAAACTCTGGGACACAAACAGGCAGAGAGCAGAAGCTGCCACGTGCAGCATGTGGGGAGGCAGGGGGGGTGGGGTCTAGTCAGAGAAGGCCAGGGTGCTCAGGGTCACTGTGACCCATCTGGCCATGGCCCTCGTAGAGGAGGTAGCATGTTGGGAAAAGTCCTGGGCAGGGCATCAGGAGATCTGAGTTCTGGCTCCACTCTGCCTGGCCTTACTGGGTGACCTGGAATAAGGTCCTGCCCCTCTCTGGCCACCAATTCCATCCTCTATGGAATGAGGAGCTGAAATTAGGGGTCTCTGAGGGCCCACCCGTCTCTGCCCTGATGACTCTGATTCTAGATGCTGTGACCATCCCCTCGCCCCCGACCAATGTCCATGCCAGTGAGATCCGAGAGGCCTACGTGGTTCTGAGCTGGGAGGAGCCAAGGCCCAGGGGCAAAGCTCCACTGACATACTCTGTGGAGAAGGTACAGACCCCAAGGGCCCAACCCGAGACTAGCCTGAGAAGTAGACATGCTGTGGGACTTAGGGTGTGGGAAGTGCAG